CTACCGTGAAACAAATCCAGGTAGTGGTCAGAGCGAGACTCGAACCTGGGATCTGTCCGACGCGCTAACCAGTCGGCCACGCTGCCGTAGCGCATGAGAACCTGCTTGCAGGCTAGCACGGATGAGTCTAAGAACAGACACTTCTAGTGGGTTCTTACGAGTAATTGTTGTTCTCTTGTAGCAAGTAGAAAAGTTAAAGGAACAACTGAAACAGAGCAGTCAGCTGAATATCAGGCTCAAGAACCAACTGGATGAAGTGAACGCTTTAAATATGCAGACACTAGCGGACAAGGATGACATGATAAGAGACTTGACTCGGCAAATAGAGGATCTACAAACACAGTTAGACAACACACAGCAAACATTCAGCGAGCTCGAAAAAAGACTCACCGACGCCAACACAAAACTAGAATTCTATGCTTCAAGTTTAAATGGCAGTCATGATGAGACACTTCTTGAGCGAGAACAGGAATTGGAGATGTTAAGACAAGAGCTTGATGAGCTGCGTCGGCTCCAGTCACGTGATGAGCGTATCGGCTCAGATATGGCCGCGCAGACTTCACCGTCGAGGGACTGGGCTCGTGCGTCGAGTGATAAAATGAAGGACCTGGAGAGGAGATTTGAAGAGAGTCTTCAAACGACTGAACAGTACAAGAACATTTTGGACGAGAAAGAGATGGAACTACAGCAGTTAAAGCTCAGGGTAGGAAATTTACACACTTTAAATGTGTAGTGTGGACTTTTTGGTGCTTAGAAGGCGAATTGTGATGGCTGCTTGTTAAATTTTGAATCAAATTTTTAGCTTGAAGAATTCGAAATGTTTCAACAGAGTCTCCTACGAAAGATAAACGGAGACACTGCTCGCAGGATATGATCATTTGTGAGCAATTGTTTATTTGCATGACGTGATTATTCATTTACGAATCTAGTTTTGTATTGACAGAATTAGTTTGTTGTTCTATGAGTCACCGAATGCTGAAATAATCTACTGATCTAAATTGAGTGGCGCCCTGAGATTGGAAGTATAGCGTATGCCTAAGTCTATGTTTCGTGGCTTATTGGGAGCAAACCAACATACGGAGCTGTTTATTGCCAGCAGTGGTTGTGTATTTTAGCTTATATTACATCAAATTGCTTACAAGATGTCAAATAATTTTTGAAAGTTCTCCGAAGCGAAACGTGCATTTAAACATCCCGCGCTCGCTGCATTTTTGTTCTGATTGCGCTATTGTGTTAAATTGCCAATAAACATTGTATTGATTACGAGACAAAGAAAGCAAAAACTCTATCACAAGTTTGCAAACACTGACATTTTAACGTGCGAGATTTTTAAATGAGATTAAAATGCAAGGACTTACTGCAGGAAGTATAGCTCTAGTCTCCTGAAAAGTTAGCGCGTATACTGTGCTGTCTGATTCGCAGCCTTTACTCCGTTTTGTACTTGGCTATGAATCAACAATGAGAACATTTGAGGGAATAACCAACATTGTGAGAGTTATATCTGGCTTGGTCAGAGTCCTTTTCTGGTTGGCTTCTTTTAAGGAACACTTCACAATGCACTGTCGTTAACTTGTGTTTTGCTGTTCTCTTTTCTCACAGGAGGCGGCAAGGGCTAAGGAGAATTCTGAAGCGAAATCACGTGAAACGGCGGAAATCCAGAGACTTCGTGACGAGTATGAATCGGGTATAAAAACAAACAGAGAACTCAAAAGGCTTCTGGAAAGCGAACGAGAAAAAGGCCACGAGAGATCAACAACACCTGATGGAGTTTTGGAATTACGACTGCAACTCGACGAATCCTTACAGAGGAACGACGAGCTTCAACGACAACTGAACGAAAGTGCCCGATCGGACGAAGAAGTGATCCGACTCAGGCACGAACTTCAAAATGCTACTCAGATAAATGATTCGCTGGGATCGCGAATACGAGACTTGAACGAATCTATTTCCAAGATGAAGGGTGTGAGAAACGAGGCAGTGAAGCTACAGAAAGAGCTGAAAGACGCACAGCGTTTGAATAAAACGCTCACTGATCAGCTCAAAGAGACAAGAAAATCAGCGGAGGAAATTGGGCGAGTACAGCGTGAGCTGAGAGAAGCGAAAATGATGAATGAGCAACTCGGCAAACAACTCGCTGAACTTCTTAATCACTCAGCAAAAATGAAGAGTCAAATTGAAAAGTAAGGCTTTTTTTACAGTTATCGTAGCAAGTAAAAGTATGTGAGTGCCTGGTACTCCAAAGCCCGGCTTGGTCAGCTGTCTTTGGTTACAATTAAAAAGGAGTAACTGGTGAAATCCTTGCAAAAACAGTCAATATACGTCTGTCGTGATTACCGAGATATTGATATTGCACATTAATGTTGCGGCTAACAAAAGTAATAGTTAAGTCTGAGTCCACTGTTGCATGCCCAGTCTGTATAATTGTGAATTCTGAAAAGTTAATTTGAGACCTCGAAATAGCGGGATCCTGCCCATTGAGATAAAATGATGTTTCAGAACGATGTAAGTGTCTTTCAACTGATATGCTGTGGTGTTGTTTCTGTTTAGATTTCAGCATGAACTCCAAGAAAAAGACAAAGTGATCGAGACGTTACAGCTTAGACTACAGTCCAAAGCAGACATGCACTCAGTAGCACTGTCTCCTTTTTCTTCTCCGTCCAAACGCTTTGTAGAAACACAGACTAGTCCACGCCAGGTAAGTGCTGTAACACAGCATCAGAAAGACAGCTCCTAGAACAAGCATCGTCAGTCTTGAAACTTGAAAATACACTTAACGTTTTGTCTGATAATAGGAAAAATACAAAGATGACAACAAGGGTGAGTGCTATTCGATAACGCCAAATGGTTCTGAAACTAGTGGAACATATTTTTCATACATTAATCCAAACGATTTTTTTTATTGTTGTCAAACATGCTCTATTAGTAGAAGAAGCATTTCCAATTTTAATTCGAAAAATATGTTTTCCTCGCCGATATCCACGTATTTCTTTCAGTGTCCGCTCTAGAATTTTTGTAGATCTAGAAAGCAAATTCTCAAACTCATTAATAAGTCATCAAGGAAATCATGATGACCATGATCGTGACGGTATTTGGATATCTGATCTTAATTAGTATAGATTTTCACGATTTAATTTCTCCGTTTACTCCTTAGTTTTAGTTTCGATTGAGGAGATATATCAAACACTCAAGACAGTGTTTGACCACATTTCCAAACATCTCAAAGTTCGTCAAAATAAACTCCGCTACGCGTCGTATTTTCAACTTTCTTCTCGGTGTTTGGAAATGTGGTCAAACACGGTCTTTCGTGTTTGATATATAACATCTAGTTCATGGTTTTTTTGGAATTCTAAGACCAAACCTGTTCATTTAAGGGACCACGTGCCTCTTCACCAGGAAGCGAGTCTTCCTCTGAAGCCACTGAGAAGCTTCACCAGATAAACAGGATGCTGCTGGGCGAGAATCAGCTACTGAGGAGTAAACTAAAGGACACTGAAAAACTAAACGACACTCTAAGAAACGAGAACGATATGTTCTCAAAGATACAGAGCCAGTCTTCTCAGACGCCAGCGGCAAGTCAGAAGCGGTCTACCATGGACGAGCTGTTGGCCGGCTTCATGGCTGAAATGCGAGAATTGCGCCTGCGCTTGGAAGATAGTATTCGCACTAATGATGCATTGCGGGCGCAGCTGGAGATGAGGTTGTCGGAGGGGACTGGTGATAAGAGTGCTGGCAGTGTTCCTGATGAGATCATTCTGATTCGTGAGAATGACACTCTGCGGACTGAACTGCTGGAGAAAGATCGAGCCAACGAGAAACTGAAAAGAATCATTAGCGAATTGAAACAAGAGCAAACCAGGTGGGTCCTGGTTAAGAGCTTTGAAATTTTGTTGTCAATGAATTGTAATCGATTGTAATCAAATGTTACTGATTTTTGCACTGATCGACAATGTCACTGCCATTGTCAACACTATTGTCATTGTTACACGACACTAATGCCACTTTTCGCGTCACGTGTTCATCTCCAGAGACAAAGAACAGATTAACCTTGTCCGCCAACAACTGCTAGAGAGCAGCAAAGTATCAGAAAACCTCAGAAAAGAGCTGAGTGTATACGAAAAGCTCTATAAACTATCTCTTGAAGGCAGGAACATGGAAGTACAGACAGAGGGTATGTATTCCATCTGCATATGTATTTAACTAATATACGAAAGTTTAATTACAAAGTATTTAGACCCTGCAACCTTTGCTAATGGCCACCAGAAGAATTGCTGCTACGTCCTGCCGATGGATGAGATTATTGTATTGCATGCATCTTATTGTGGTCAGGTTGCCTCAGGTGTCCATTTTCTCATCTTGGGCGAGGACGTAAAGAAGTTAAAATGTCGAAACGGGGTTTTCGTTGTTGTTGAACTGACCGTTGGTTTCTTAGACTTCAACACTCTACGAGAATTTGTGTTTGGCTTTTTAACACGTAGCAGTGTGGCCTGGGTTCGAATCATGGACCCAGCGTCATTAGTGGGTCGAGCTTGTTGTTGGTGTTTACTTGGTTATGAACAATTGATGAATAAGTAACATACTGAGAGATATGTGCTGTTGGTTCTCGCCTTGCTCCGAGGGTTTTTCTCGAGGTTCTCCGGGTTTCCTCCCTCCACAAAGACACTTTCCAAATTCCAATTCTATCTGGAAACAGTTGACGAATAGCCACTCCATGGAGGTGCCACTGATAATTTCCATTTTTATGTAACGTAAAGGTTCAAAGTGGGCTTCCGTCTTTCAGGTCCTCAAATTCGGCTGAGAACCGATCTTTATCACCTCCTTTGCAGGTCAAAGCTACGGCAGTGAAGGACCTCGAAGTCCTAACAGCGAACTGCAACATGACGCCATGTCCATGTTATTGGCTGAAATACGAAGCTTACGAGTCCAGCTCGAGAAAAGCATTCAAACCAACAATGCATTGCGAGTTAAACTGGAGGAGCAACTCAGTCACGCACTCAGTTCATCTTCCCAGTCCCCGCCAAGCAGATCTCAAGTCACGGTCATCCGTCAGCTCAACTTCTCAGAGGGGAGGGATGGGGATGATGTTGGTTCTGTCAGCTCTGTGAGAGGTGAGTGGGTGAAAATGAGAACCATTTCATTCGTAGTATAAACACAGCTGTGTTATAAGACGTCCGCGTATTATTTATTGTTCCCGAAATTTGCTTTAAAACTATTCTTTGTTTGTTAGATCTGGAAAATGGTAGAATACCTTCTGAAGGCCAACAAATCGTGAATCAGCTTGAAGAGAAGTTAAACTCGATCAACAAATTCGCGACTGAAGCCTACAATAGCATTATATCAAACGCTCAGGTGATTTTTAAATGTTAGTTTTCTTTATGTTTGTGCCTTCTTAGCATTGTAATTCTCCCGTTGGTAGTGTAAATGTTTATAAGGAATTTATCTTGTAAGTACTGTATTGCAAGTACGTTTGCGTTTGTGGTGCTTTTTTTTCCCTTAGTATTTTTTTCTTTTTTGTAACCGATTTGTGTTTAACAAAGTTCATTATTTCAAATTTGCGAACTAGTATCAGACAAGAAAAACGAACTTATTCGGCGGTTCATTTGTATTTGTAACTGAAGATGGATGTTGATCATCCGAAACATGTTTTGCAAACTTAAAACTGTGTGTTTTTATCCCAAAGTTCATTAGTATTATTTTAAAACACTTGATCATCGGTCATTTCTTCTCTACAGACCGATAGTCTGCCTGATATTGAAAATATTTTGAGAATTAGTTTGGAATGTAAAGCGCTGTTGAACGCGCTTAATGTCGACTCTTCACCTCGGCAAACACAAAGGGATTCTGAAGATGCCAGTGGAGAGGTAGGAATGCTTACTTATAAAGCTTATAAAACCTCTTAGAAAGATTTTTGTGTAAACTTTGAGAGTGTGTGTAAAATCGCTTTGGTTAAACCCTGTAGTAATCCTGACGAAAACGCAATTAACGTGTTTTAACCAATCACAGTGAAAGTGTTATTTTTCCTGGCCATTCCAGTGCAAAGCCAGTGCGAGTGCTGATTGGCTAACTTGGCTTCCCGCGCTTTTGACCGGTTACGTGTTTTGCTTCCAGATTCGTTTTTCCTTTTTTTTTTCGGTGGCTCTTTCTATAGTGTAGTTTTGTGATTGGGTTGGTTTGTATTCAACCAGTGTTATTATAATCCCTTCTAGATTTTTGCTTCAGCGTTAAATCTTTTGCACCTTTTTTTCCCAACAGAATGAAAGTCTTAAACTTGAAATTGGAAAATTAAGACGTCGTCTTCTTATCCAAGAAGATATCATTAAACGAGCTTGCGAAAGGCTTGAGGTAGGTTACTCTCTTTGTACAGTGGCAAACAATTAAGCGGGCGGCAACTGCTCAAGAACGCAGGAAACAGAGGAATAATAATAATATTCAGGCTTTAATTTCACAGCTGCTTAAGTTCTGTGAGTGTATAACTGCGATGATCAATCATGTCTTAATAATAACTTTTGTTATAAAATAGTCTTTCAGTAAGGGCTTTGATTCTCCCTTCCCGTGAAGTTAACTTTTGCAGGCCTGTTATTCCTTTCGACACAAACGATTACACGCCATAACACTTAACATCTACGCGCCTCTAATAATCAGCCAGCGTTTAACATGTTCACCTCCTGCCTAAGAATAACAACTCTCCTTTCCGATTCTAATACATTTAATACGTCTTCAATATCATCAGCTTTTTTTTACAATAACTATCAAGTTTCTTGCTACACTTCGTGGAGTCGTATCCTGTGTCGCAGATGGAAATTTACCTGTAGTAACCTGCGGTAGGCTGCGTCTGCGACTTAGGCTATGGAGTCACAGCTACTTGTTTTGACGAAATTCGTGATCAATAATAAGAGAGACCTGGGACAAACCTGACGTCAATTTTTTAACTCAACTCTCTGGCCGCAACCAACCCCTACAGTCAGACAGTCGTCAGGTGAAGAATAACACTTAGTCATCTAACTGAAGTCTGTTTTGTCCGCGTTTCTGTTTTCTTGTTTCAACTTTCCATTCTCTTTCACGACCTGAAAGTAATGTGGATGTTATTGCCAATGAACAATCAACATTCGGAAACTATGCTCGATCCGGTTGTCTAGTACATACCCTTCAAGCCTGTGTGTATCTTTTCATGTCTGCTGTTCTCTGTCTAGATTCTTTTCTCTTCCTCTCTAGCGTTGCTAAACCGGAGAAGCAGCCTTCTTCTTACATCCATGGTAACCAACGTAACATGTAACAATCGGCGTATCTTAACTAAACTGCATAATCAGCCTGTGTTAATTCAGTAACCATTTGATCTGTAACAAGGACACTAAACGTTTGTACATTTCGTTATCTAACAATTCTAAACATTAAAGCAACACACTATAATAATATAACCAACCGTCTGAAAGTTGGACGGCATGTCATCATTGACTAATTGTCAAAGAGCTCGTTTGGAGCATTATTCTGCCCGGCGCAGTGGAGGGTGGGTTGAGAAATAGGGCTCGTTTCAACGTGCCTTATTTGAACCCCACTGCATTCCGTTCACAGAGGACGAATGTTAGGCTCCATTTCCAGCCGCTGTTCGAGAAAGGAGCCCGCGCTCAGGAACGTTAGACCGTATTCGGGTAAGCGGCGGAAATCAAGCTCAGACGGTCTCGGTTGGTCTATTTTGTTCAGTAGAGTGAACGTAAAACGTTTGAACTTTAAACTCTGTCTGTTACAGTATTGTTAAACGATGATAACAGACTAAAAATCAACATTGCTTTGCTCAACTTTCTTGAGTTCTCTTATAAAGCAGTACCTTTGTGTTAAATCGCGATTTTCTGCTTCTTTAGAACACAAATAAAGTCAAGGAGAGCACGCGAGCTGAGGTTATTGAACAATGTAAGTATTAAGGATGTTTTAAATTTGTTCTTTTTGCTGTTGTTCTTGCCGGGCAGCCGTCGAGCCAAGTTCAGC